TGTTTATGTACTGTGGCCCCCAGAACACACAGCATGATTCAGACCCCCCTCCCACACACTCCGTTTTTACTTCATTAGGCCATATCTGTCAGCTAATACTACTACACTGTTTATGTATCAATTGCCAAGGCGGATAAATCCAGAGTTCAGAATGGAGTGTTGTTGATTTGGCAGCCGTGCGGATGTTGGGGATTTACTGGGGATGCCATCAGGTTAATTGAGGGAGTCGTTCACCGGAATGATGCATCCAATGAATTCTCTATATAGATACTCTGCTAGGGAAAACAATAAATACCGTTGACGTCAAAATTATTAGGGCTCCTGTGATTTTGATTTTCTTTTTTAAATATTTCCCAAATGATGTTTAACAGATTTTTTAAAAATTCACAGTATTTCCTATAATATTTTTTCTTCTAAAGAAAGTCTTGTTTGTTTTATTTCAGCTAGAATAAAAGCAGTTTGAAATTTTTTTAAACACATTTTAAGGTCAATATTATTAGCATATTAGTCAATATTATTAGCAATATTAAAAGCAATATCTTTTTTTTTCGATTGTCTACAGAACAAACCATCCTTACAATGACTTGCCTAATTACCCTAACCTGCCTAATTAACCTAATTAAGCCTTTAAATGTCACTTTAGGTTAAATACTAGTATCCTGAGAAATGTCTAGTCAAATATTATGTGCTGTCTTCATGGCAAAGATAAAATAAATCAGTTATTAGAAATTAGTTAATAAAACTATTATGTTTAGAAATGTGTTGAACAAAATCTTCTCTCCGTTAAACAGAAATTAAATACCTGATTGATAAATATTGTCATTTATCAATTTTATTGTCAAAAAAAAAAAGTCCAAAATAGCTATGCTTTTATTAAAAATTTGCAATACATAATATTGAACTATATTGTTATCGGTTATTATCGATTTATAGAATAAAACCAATTTTGATTGATAAATATTGTCATATTTTTGGAGGGAAAATACAATATTTTTTATTTTAAATTAGCAAGAAATATTATCAGATTATAGATTATTATCAATTTGTACAATAAATCCAATTTTACTCAAGCCTATGCCTGACTAATAGACTTTACTGTTTTTTATCTGCACAACTCTGGTTTACTTTGCACTCATTGCTATATGCCCTTAATGTCACTGTATTGTTTACAATTTTTATTACATATGTATATTTTTTAGACCACATTTATGTGCAATGTATATACTGTAAATTTTCTTTTTTTCTTAAACTCTACTATTTTTTATATATATATATTATATTAATGTTAAGCACCTTGGGTCTGAGAGTAACGCAATTTCGATTCTCTGTATGTCTTGTACATGTGGCTGAATTGACAATAAAGCTGACTTTGACTTTGACTTTGACTTTACCGTTTTCTGGAGGCAAAAAATAAGCCAAAAATTGCAATATATTTATTTTAAAAATTTGCAATGATTGAATTAAAGATCATTATGAATTTATGGACTAAAACCACTTTCTCAAGTCTATTACATACAAGTCTATGTAAATAATTGTAAACAAAGTGAATGAATAAATAGGCGAGACATCCGTTGTTGTAATAGATAAAGCATTTTAATTAAACATTTTACACGTTTTATCTGATTTCGAATTATTAAAATATATTTAAAAGATGCATTATAATAACTGAAGCATATTATAAATAAATAAAAATTGATTGCTAACAAGTGGGTAAAACCCAGGGACAAATTTTAAATGGCATCTTATTTTAATTGTATTTTCTTTGACCTTTATATGTCATCAGATGACTCTTGCTCTAAATATGTCTGACACAAATTTTTGGTACACAGACTATTGTTGCACTGAATGACATTTAATCATCTCTGTGGTTAGATGTTAGGTGGCGATGTAAAAGTTTGTGTATGACAGCATTGTGCATTCGGCTTGTGGTTTAGAGAGTGTGTGTGTGTGTGTGTGTAGGGGGGCGGGGGGTATGAAGTTATTATTTTGAACACATTTTTGGTACATAATTTATCAGACTGAAGGCCAACGTACACATGTCAAGCGGGTCTCGGGTACAAATTGTTACCTCATCACTCTGTCTATTGCATCAGCATCTTCTGAGCACTTGAGCGCAGGTATGGCAGGCTGGAGTCCTGCTGGCGGTGGGTAATAGGAGTGCCGTGCCGCTGATTGGCTTCCATGAGGAGCGAGGAATTTTAGTTGGACACGTGGGAAATCTCACGGGCCACCCTGGCCTCCTAATTGGATTACATACAGACAAGTATGTCATCTTATTCTATTTTGTTCTGTGTTTAATAATATATGGCATTGTGTGTTGTTATTGTTGTCAATTTTTTTATATTCATGTGTATTATTTATTGTAGACTCCTGTTGTAGGGGTTGTAATATATATATATATATATGTTTTTTATATTACATTATATTATATTATATTATATTATATTATATTATATTATATTATATTATATTATATTATATTATATTATTAGTCAACATTTGAAGTGGATCAATGGAAATATGCAATAAACAATATTAATATTTGTACAATAACATACATTATAAATATTTTAAAATGTATTCGAAAATAATGTAAAAAACTGTAGAAAAACTGCAAAAAATGTATATTTATTGCCTAAATTTTAATTTTGTTGTTCAAATAATGTATATGTGTGTGTGTGTGTGTGTGCACGTGCGTGCGTGTGTGCGAAAAAATTATATTACCTATCATATATCTATTATAAAAAAAAAAATATATATATATATATATATATATATATATATATATATATATATATATATATATATATATATATATATATATATATACACACGCACACACATACACACTACACACAATCAATATAAATAAATAAATAAAAATAGACATTTAAATTCTATAAATAATCTATAATTCAATACTAATAAATAAATATAAAATAACTCGATAAATAATATTCTCTTATATATATATATATATATATATATATATATATATATATATATATATATATACACACACACAGTCTTGTCAGCAATAACTTTTTATTTATGTATAATTAATTTAGCATAATAACTTATTATTATTATTATTATTATTATTATAAATATAATAATATTATATTTAATAGTTAGAAGTCAGACAAAATTTGTAAAATGTTTACCTGAATTTTTGATATGCTTTATTAAATATTTCATTTAATTTGATGTTTATTACAACACAGGATGTCTTGCTTATTTGTATTTACATTTTTTTTCATATATGTCCATCAGTTATAAGTAGTATCAGTTTGAGTAAAATTTGTTTTATTCTATAAATCGGTAATAATCTGTAATTTGATAATATTTTCATATATTATATTATATTATATTATAGTCAACATTTGAAGTAGATTAATGGAAATATGTAATAAACAGTACTAATATTTGTGCATTAACATACATTATAAATATTTTTAGTTGTTTGAACTATGGGCTGGGAGGATCTGTGTTTCCCCTTCACTGTTATCCTCCCTACACAAAGTCAACCATCTGCAACAAGGGACAGTTTTTGTAATACTTCTAAAGTCTCAGATAAGATATTTTCTCCCTGCTTCTAAATTGGTGAAACGCGACCCATGACGTTTTGCCCTCTGCGGTCCCTTTAATGGCTGCGGGTTCCGATCGCTTTTCCACTTTGCAGCTCTCTTAACCGGAACCTCGCACACCAAATACAGACAGCGAGGGGCGTGGCCGGATCATGCCCTTATTTGGAGTTTCCACTTCAGTGGCGAACTTGGCGCTCGAGGCCAAAGCCAAGCCTACAGAATTGCCGCGCGCCTGCAATATTTACACGCGATTAACTCTCTGGCAGACACTGAGACTCAGTTACTGTTGCTTCTCCTGGACTAGATCATCTGTTGCAGTCAATAACCACTTAGCTGACTTTTTACCAATGATTAAGTTGGATTTTCATTTTTACTTCCAATTCCACTTCCACATGTGATTGCTTTTCAAGAAGCTATAGTTTCTCATGGATCTGTCATCTTTTAAAATACTGTCCGACAGCCCACGCTGACCATATAAAGAGCACTGAGAACTGCTAACAGGTGGTCACTGGAATGTACTTTGTAATAAGTGCACTAGTTTAAAGTTAAATGTTAGAATTTGATGACATGTTGCTTTAGATGAAGCCATTGTCATGAAAGGTTTATTGATTTTTTTTAAAAATAAGAATAAAAAATGAAAATAAAAGCGCGTGGCATGTAATTGTGCATTTACTTTTGCAATATTATGCAATGTATAGCATACATCACAGATGCTCTTAATCTGGCGCTTATCATTGTAAAACATTTGAGTGTCAATTTAAATCAGTCATAAAAAAGCATTACTATTATAATTCATTATATAATATTTTCACTTGGAAAAATAGTTCATTTGCTCCTCTTTACGACCGCTGAAATCAGGCAGAATGCACCCTAATTGCAATGCTGGCTATGTTGCAGCTTACTTAATAATATTCTAACTATTATAAAATTAATGAAATGCATTTTCTTTATCAATTCTCCGCTTTTTTATAAGTAAATTCACTTTTCCTATGCATTTTCAAGTGCAGCTTCATGCAGTGTAAAAGTTTCCCGCTGCTCGCTGTCGCGCGCTCTGACAGATCCAGAGAGATCCACGTTCACAGTGTGTCTTTAAAACAGTTTCCCTCTTCCAATTGTCGCCCAAACCGATGAAAATGTCCCTTTCGCTGCTCCGCCGTGCGCTTATCTTCCTGCTGCCGACTGTAATGTTCCACTATGAGGAGCTTCCATGTGACGTCGCGCGGCCGTCTAGCTTTGTGTGTCCATAAATGGTCATCTACGTCACGAAGTTGTTCCGTCCCCCCGCAGAACAAGAAAGCGTTGGAGTTCCCTGCGCTCGCAATAGAGCGAGCAGCGCTACACTTGTGCAATCACCACCACCACCAACAACATCATCTCTCCACTGTTCCAGAGACAATAACACTTGACAGAAATCACGCACAAAAAAACAACCCTCCTCGCGAAGAGACATCAGCGCCGTGCCCGTCGCGCGCTCGGATTTAATTTCCAAGGCTTCGAGGGTCTCCTGCTGTCGCTTTTCGGGTGATTTCTGAAGACGGATCGGGATTGAACACCTGTGCGCGCTCATTAATGACAGCCTGAAGAACTGCTATGACAGGTAAACTAGCGGACAAGATCCCTATTACCATGAGCAGTTTAATCAACACCATACCTGACAGTCTCTACCCAGAAGAAGACATCCCAACTTCTATGAACATTTTCGCAAACCCGGACTCCATTTCGCACTACTCGCAGATGAATACAGGTAAGGAGGAAAGCAAAAGTTTTAGAGTCAAGCTGTTGTTGGAGTTTGTAAGCTGCTGTTTGGTGTGCTTAGTGGGGCATCAGTTGCCGTGGAGAGCGCGCTGCTCGGCCCCGCGGCACCTGTTAACGCGCGAGTAGTGCGCGACTGTTACAGTAGTTTAATAATAACACAACTCCTCATACTGCTAACAGAGACTTTCCATGTCGAAAAAAAATGCTAAGCATTACTTCATGCAATTGTTCTTCTCTAATCAAAGACTTTATTTTAGAGTTAGTCTACTTAGAAGGCTAATAATAATATTAAACAATGCGTATAATACGCAATTATTTCAAGACATTGTTTATAAATAAATAGCGCTGTTGTTATTATAATCAAATGTATTATCATGACATTATATTAAGCATGCATTTAATGATTTTATAGACAAATCTGCTTTGTGGGCTTTGCGCTTTTTTCCTTCAGTGTAATTCTGCGATTTAATTGCGTTTGGTTTGTGGTGAAATTGTATTTCGTGAAGGTGTGTGGCTTTAGTTAAAATGTTCCCGTCACGTGATATGAGTGTAAAGTGGACAGGTAATATCAGGTAGCTAATAGGTATCACTTCAAACCCACGCGTCACGGGACGCGCGGAGCCTCCTTGTTATTTACTTAAAATACACATACAGCCATGAAATATATTAATTTTTAGAAACATTTATATATTAATCACGTGAAATAGCATTGGAAGCCGTTTCGTTTTTCACTATGTGCTTTATTTGATCTAAAACGCGTAATTTCGGGTTGCCTCCGTGATTCTTTCAGTCTATTATAGATATTTAGTTGTGTCCATATATTGTATTTAGTTATGCCATTGCCAATATTTTAAGGTTTTGATTAGTCAGTGCATAATACAGGATTGACCCTCTTTCTGACCCTCCACACGCGCGGGTAGGCGTTTAGATGCGCGCTTGTCTTCAAACAGCCCGTGAGAACACGTGAAACATCTCATTTAAAATATATATATTCACAAAATATATTATTACAATCAAATCGCGTAGTCTTTGTGTTATTGTTCACTTTATTCACGCGCCTTTCAAATGTCAATTATTGCGTTAGTTAAATCAATTTAATTTAGCTACTCAGAGGCTTAAAATAATACTATAATTATCGAGCAGAATTCAGCGAACAAAATACAATTATTTAATCACAATTGATAAGCTAATAATGGAAGAATATTAGGATTTTCCGTCCAGTCAGGTTATCATCTGTTGTTTTTTCCCCCTATATAGAGCCGTGTTTTTATTATTGTCGCAGTTTTTTTCTCTATCTCCCTCTCTCTATTTGAACTATGACATTTATTTATATAACTGTTAATGTAAAAAAAAAAACACACACACACAAAATAAAACTACACACACTCTCTTCATGGGAATTTCAGCTCTTAGTGTAACGCCATGCAGGCTTCTTACAACTTGATCATTTGTGAAATTAAAACAGAAGAGAGGAGTTGTTAAATATCGTATTATTATCGAGAGTGAAAGCATAAGATCTTTCGTCCTCTACTTGTACATGTACTGATGGAGTTTCACAAAGCTCTTGATGTGGTTTTCACTGTGCAGGTCAAAAGAGGCGATGCTTCCCACACTTGCGGGAGAGTATTGACCTCGTTTCATTTATTAAAGTATCAAAATGAATATGAAATACGAATGCTAACATCCTGCTGTAAAGTAATCTTCAGCAAATGTGTGAATTCTTAAAAAACAGAGGCTCTTTTTAAATATAAACTCCTTTAGAAATTAGATCATCTTGCTTTTTAATTTTTTTTTTTTAATGGGAAAGTAGTTCATCTCAATCTGAATATAAATATATGCATAAATGTTGCGTAATGATGTATATAAACATCATATAAAAAAAGCAAAAAAAAAAAAAAAAAAAGAAATGTCACTGTGTTGTATATGACCTTTTTTAAAAGATACTCTTATTTTAGACACCGTGAGATTTATTTTTTGTGTGTGTGTGTTTGTACCCTTCACACTTTATTAATATCTCTTGGACTGCTTATCACAATGTCAATGTGATAAACCCTTTTTGTCCTTACAAAGTGTCCTACCAAACGCCCCTGTAAAAAATCCCCACAAGTGTGTGAAATGCGTCCCCACACACATCCTGCAACGATAGGCACAGCGTGAAATAAATAGATACTTATTTTTCACATATCTGTAGAACACAAGCTTCTCTATCTCTCAGAGTTTAGCCCGAGTGAGTCTTTTTTTCCCCCTTCAGACGCAGCACAGCATCTCTTCGCACATGTACCCTGTGTGCGTTGAACAGATGCGAGGACCATCTGTAATTTTCATTCTGTTTGTTTCTACCGTAAGCCACAATTTGGTGCACACACTGCGATTACTGTAAGTGCACGTACAAGACTAAACTTAGTGGAGTATTTAATTTATAGACATGCGCTACGATCATTGTGTGCAACAGCATACTTTTCTTCAGACATGCTAAAAGTGATTGAAGTCACAACAGATCCTCGTTTGGTACTTTTCAGAGCAGCCATCAAGTGCCAACGACTGAAGGTGTGGGAGAAAGAAAGAGAGAGAGAGAGAAAGAAGGAGAGATGGAGTGCGTATAAGAGTAACAGTGATGTCAATCGTGACATCCTGTGGTACGGAGAAGCCTGATTGCCAAATCAGAGTTCCAGTCAGCCATTTAGATTCTCTGACAGAAAGACAATAAGTTGGTGAGGGTGGTGGCAGAAATTCACTTACAGATCAATTTCAGCGCCTTTCATTTGGACTGATATGCTTCACTTTCTCCTATATTTTTTGGAACAGGCGATTAACAGAGGTACGCCGAGACACTGCCGCTGAGACCAACTTAAAAAGTTTGAAAGCAAGCAAGTGAAAGTCTTCAACTCAGTAGTTAGCACCTATTAGTGTAGTCTCCTAGATGCTTCTCAGAACTTTCCTCTAGCCTTTTTGTCCATTTTTGTAGTTCTTGCTGAAGTGCATTCTGAATTGACGTGTGCATTCTGACCCCTGTCACACAGATAATATCATGGACTTGGGGATGGGCGGCGAGAAGGGCAGCGGAGAAATTCAGTACGGCTCCGGCAGCTTCCAGTCTGGGCGAAGTGGGCAGACCGTCACCTACCTGGGCAAGTTTGCATTCGACACCCCTCCTTCAGGCAGCATCGGCGGCTCCGGCTGGTGTCCCGACAACAACATCATAAGCCTGGTGAGTGCAGGCATCCTAGGGGTGTCCCCTTCACCTGGAAACATCACCACCCAGACGTCTTCATCCAGCGGCAGCATGGGTGGCCAGTCTTCAGACATGGAGCAAGTATACGCACCACCCCTACCTGCCTACTCCACCTGTGGAGAAATATACCCAGAGCAGGTGACGTTCCACCACAGTCCGGCCACGTCCTCATCCTTGCCCTACCCGAGCTCTGACTACCACACCACCTCTAAACCAGGCATGGACGGCAGTCTCTTCTCCATGATCCCAGACTACAACCTCTTCCATCATCAGGGAGACGTAGGGGTGATGGAGCATAAACCCTTTCAAACCATGGACCCTATCAGGGTGAACCCGCCTCCCATAACTCCCCTCGAGACCATTCGAGCTTTTAAGGATAAGCAGCAGATTCATCCCGGCTTCCTCGGTGGGCAACAGCACGTTTCGCAACATCATCAACCCTCTCAGACACTAGCTCTCAAACCTATCCGTCCAAGAAAGTATCCCAACAGGCCGAGCAAAACTCCAGTGCACGAGAGACCACATGCCTGTCCGGCCGAGAACTGTGACCGGCGTTTTTCGCGATCCGATGAGTTGACGCGGCACCTGCGCATCCACACAGGACACAAACCCTTCCAGTGCCGCATCTGCATGCGGTCCTTCAGTCGCAGTGACCATCTCACCACACACATCCGCACACACACCGGCGAGAAGCCGTTCTCTTGCGAATTCTGTGGACGCAAGTTTGCGCGGAGCGACGAGCGAAAGCGGCACGCCAAGGTGCACCTCAAACAGAAGGACAAGAAACCCACGGACAAGGGCAGCAGTGCTGGGGCAGGGGGGAACCACACTTCTCCTCCCAGCTCCTGTGGGAGCGCAGGACCCAGCAGTACTAACATCATGACCGTCACCACTTGTGCATGAGATGGACTTGAAAAGTAAGACTGTGAGGTGAAAAAAAACCGAAGTTTTCTTTCTCCTCTTTACATACACTTGACTCTCTCCCTCTCACTATATTCATCCGGTTTCTATTGATTATGGTGGCGCATTTCTGTAGCCACTACTGTGGTAGGTCAAGTGAGTGGGGAGTAAGTGGACTTGGATGGGAAGCAGAGGGCGTCAAAGATGACAGTTCAAGCAGTCGGGTCAGTCCACAGAAAGAGCACTTACAGATGCAGCACAGTCAACTCTCAGCTCCGGAGACCAGAGCGTCTCTTCAGAGTTTAGGTCTACTTCTTGTATTTTGGTTCGTTGGATGAAAAAAAAAAAAGTGCACTTTCATTTGCTTAATGTTTCGCAGTCTTTTTTAAAATGATTGTTAATTATTTAATGTTTCTGTGTTATTGTTGTTGTTTTTCAAGAGAATGTGCCAAATGTATTTAAATACAGCAGATGATTTAAAAACGATATATTGTTTGTATTTACCTAATAACTTCGGTTCAGACATTAATTTGGGGAAAGCCTATGAGCTCTAAACGTGACGTTAAAAGTCTGATTATTTACATATTTTGAAATCCGGATGACGTTTATTATCAGCGACGGACTTTCAGTGCAATAAGGAAAGAAAAACAACAACAAAAACAACAATAAAACGCAGTCTGGCTCACTTTCACATGTTTACCTTCTGGGGACTTAATGAAGGCACGTCTTTGCCTTTATTAAGCGCGCATATAAGGGCCAAACACAATACGATTAAAAGATTTTGCCTTTCTGTTTTTGCTGCATGCACCTAGTGTCATGTCTAGTACTGAGAAGATTGCATCAGTCATGATCGACCTACAGCAATACGCATCCAACTCAAACCATGCAGAGTGTCATTTAAAAAAATTGACCTATTTTTATGTGAAAACTGTCCCTCTGTTGTCCTTATCGTCATTGTTTTACTGAACGGTTGCATTTCCTCATCCAATATTGTTCATGGGGTCCCTTTTTACGCACATTATATATTCAGCACGCATTTGAACACACATGTACACACAAACGAAATCAGCCAAAATTATGGTAATGCTTGCCTGCGAGCATCACCACTGGGCAGGATTGATCTTAGGAGTCATTGTTTTGCATTTTTACCGGCTGAGGCCCTGCCTGCTATATGCATGCCATTCAAGTTGTTTTTGGATGGGAACAGTTCCGACATTTATACTGCTCTCAGGGGCAGCACCGTAATGTGGTATCTCCACGGTTACTCATATCCCGATCATGCCTAGAGATTCTGAATATTAACGACGAGAACGCGAGGGGGTTTTGTACAGATAATTTTACAAACATATTACTACATGTTTTATACTTGGAATGTACAAAGCGATGTCTTTCAGTATTACGATGTCTGTCTGTACACGTGTGTATGTGTGTGTGTGTGTGCGCGTGTATAAATGTGTGCGTATGCTAATGCACACACAAACACCCGCATACTTAGATTTTACATTGACTGAATGTTGAAACAAAGGGTGTGTTTACATTTTTGTTGGCTTTTTTTCTGTTTTCGAGACGTGTACATAGTGTTGAATGTTTTTTTGTAAGTGTGTGTGTGTGTGTGTGAGAGAGAAAGAATGAGTGTGTGAGTGCAGGAAAATCTGAGTACTGACAGTGTCAAATGTGATGCATTCTCCGGCATTTCTTCAAAGTCTTAAATATTAACTGTTATTAGTGCGAATTCTGACTTGCAGACACACTGAATGATGTGTTTAATAAATGAATAAACAGTAAGATTATTTGCTGAAAAAAGCAAAACAAAAAGAACTGTGTATCTCCTTACATTTATAAGCATACAAAACAAATCTTTTGATTATTATTGTGTTTCATTAATTTGGAATGGAGGGGATTTTAGGTTTTAATAAAAGCCTCAGGGTTTCTGCGGGGTCCTAAAAAGTCTTAAAATGTTGTAAATCTCAAAATGCAAATTTTAGGCCTTAGAAAAAGTCTTAAATGTGCTGAAATCTTGTATTGTAGGTCTTAAATCTTTTTTAAACAGGTCTTAATTTGTCTTTGTTCATGTATTGCTATCAATCTGGCCAAAACCTATACAATCATCAACAATAAATCTCAATAAAACTTTTTTTTTAAACAGTAATTTTAACTCTATTTATCATAATGGTTTAATGATTTTTTCTTACAATAACATTTGTTTAAAAGTTCTCTAAGTATTTACTGCTGAGAACACCGATCTGGACAGATTGTTGTGCATAGATTTAGTTTATTATAGTTTTTAAAACTTTAAAAATATTTCAAAGAAAGTTTATATTGGAAAAAAGTGTATGGAAACAAGTAAAGCTTGCTTGTTTTTACACAATATTTCAAATATTTTGCTAAAAAAAACATCTAAAATATAATTTTTAATTTTTATTAAATGTATTAAATTAGAATATTTTTTTTGGTAGGGCAAGAAAAAGCTTTTCCATCTAGGTCATTTGAAAATTCCTTTAGCCTTTAGCCCTTGATGAGTCTAAAATTTAATTAATAATGTTCTTTAAAAAAGTCTTAACTCTGTGAAACCTGCAGTAACCCTGAGCTCACACTTCATAGACTTTTAACAATCAAAAATATAGGTCACATTTTATTTTAGGGAATGATTAATGCTATTAGTATCTATTAAATATGTATTTTGCTTCATACATTTGCTTCTTGACAACATGGTGTAGGTTTTAGGTAGGATTATGGACATATATCATGCAGAATATGTACTTTATAAGTACTATTGAATAACAAGTATCCTTATAACAAGCCACTAGTTAATATCCAGAAGTGGTTCTTAAACTAAACTGTGAGTTTAGTTTAATTTTCAGTACATTGTAAAACACAATAAATTAAAGTAACTCAAACCATTTGAGGAAACCAATTGCAACAAACCATTTAAGTTCAAAAACTAATCCTAATGAGTACTGCGAACTTAATCCATTTGAGTAAACGAAGCAATTTGAGCACAGTTAAACTGTGAAAAATAAATGAAGAGAACTCAAACCATCTGAGTACTGTAAAACTCAACAAGGCAACTCAAACCGTTTGAGAAAACCGTTTGCTGCAATCCATTTAAGTTAAAAAACTAATCTATATGAGTACTGTGAACTTACCCCATTTAAGTTGAAGCAATGAGATATTTAATGAACTCATTACCTTCGACACTGAGTTCAAAACTCTTTTCAAATGAGTAGAATTAACTTTCAGCCAATTTTGAGTTAACTACACTCATTTCATTTTATAAAGTCGACTGTTGGGTGTTACAGTGTAGTTTTAAAGATACTATCCATAATCCCAAATATAAACATTTCTCATTTGCCCCGGGAAAATATAATCTTCCATGTCATATTCTTGGTAAGCTCTCGCCATCTTGTGCAAATCACTTCCGCAACATAATTTCTGGCAGAACTCCACTTCTTTTCTCTCTTTTTCTCTCTCTCTGACATGGTCATGCATGAGGAACTAATGTAATAGCGATTTCCAATGCTTAAATACACAGAAATAATGTGACTGTCTTGATAGGCGATAATGTTCATCAAGGTTAGAGCGCAAGTTAAAAGAACAAATGCAATATTTTATTATTTAAAAGTATTTATTTTGGGGCGCAAAACAAAAACGAGACAAATCAAATATTGATTTAGAAACTCATCTACATGCCGCTGAAATCTGCCCAAAGCTAAACAGGCATTCTGAATGTATACATTGGCATTATTGTCTTGAATTATGCATCGATACGACCCCTAATGTCAGATTTGTGTACACAAGCAAGGCTGAATCTTTTAACAACTCTCAGTGTAACTGAAGGGAAATAATAAAGGTTATACTTCTGATTGGAGAGAGTGTCGGTGTGCAGTTACATCAATGTCGGGTTCCTATATATCTTCATGTTTCCAAAGCACACATGGTATGAGAACTATTGTTGTTAAAATAGGAATACATACAAAAACAGCTTCTGGCTTAATTTCTTATCTGTTATTTTGCTTTTCTCTTTCTTTCGGTGCCAAGACGCATCAGAATGCAGGGCCAAACTGCAGCAGTAAAAATAGCGAAGCAGTTCTCACAGATCAGATACGATACCCGGTGGAATTATGCGCATGTATGTGTGTGTTTCTTTTCTTTTCTTTTTTTTTTTTTTAGAAGAAGAAAACATTTTACATGAGGAACTGTTTGCAGAAAAGATACAAAAAGGATTTATCTGACAATTAGAAGGAGCTCAAATAGTTCTAATGTAAACCACAATCTCAGTTATAACTCAGATCTTATTAGCTAATACCAGTAAAAGTCTTCCTTATGACGTTCTGTGAAGCAACAAGCAATCGTGACCTCCGGGAAACGTGTGTGTGTGTGTGTGTGTGTTTGAGCATGCTTGCATGCACCTGTATATCCGTGCTGAGTGCTTCCATCTCCATATTTTGCTTTGTTATATGTATGTAAACATCAATTTCAGTAGAACTACCAAAAATTGCTGTGTCCAAGTTTCAATAGTACTGAATATGTAAGTAATTACAGCCAAACGATCACAGTAATAACCTTCATCACTATGGGTCAAAGAGGAAGCGACTTATTTTGGTGTCTGCATCAGATTAAATGTATATCGAATGCTAGTAATAGGTCTACTTTGCTCATAAAAAGACAAAATCTGGGTGATATAATGTTGTCATTCAGTGTAACAGATATATTTATGTGAAAAAAAGGCACTTGGAGTTTTTTGTGGTCGCTTTTATGAGCATATGGAGGACTCATATGTAGGATTTAGAGGGATCTTTGATACGTTTTGATCTCCTGTTACTTCTATGGCTAAAAGTTGCTATGTCCAAGTGTTTTAATAGTACTGAATATGTAAGTAATTTCAGCCAAACGAGCTCAGTAATAACCTCCATGGCTATGGGTCAAAGACGAGATGACTTATTTTGGTGTCTGCATCAAATTAAATTCATACTGAATGGTACTAATGGGTCTACTTTAGTCAAAAAATGACAAAATCTGGGTGATATAATGTTGTCATTCAGTGTAACAGATAGATTTATGCAAAATAATGAAATTACATAATTTGACATGAGTGTATTTAAATATATATATATATATATATATATATATATATATATATATATATATATATATATAAGCGATCATGCTAAGTTCTACTACATTTTAAATTATATTTAAAACAAATTCCTTGCTGGGAAATGGGTGAAATTATTGGTAACACTTTACAATAAGATTGTATTAGTTAATGCATTTACGAACATGAAAAAACAATGAAAAATACATTTATTACAGTATTTGTTCATGTTAGTTAATGAAAATGAATGTAATTTGTAAACTCACAATGCATTAATTAGTGTTAACCATGAATTTGGATGTTCATAATGCATTAGTAAATGCAGAACTATGATTAATAAATGCTGTACAAGTATCTTTTATAAATATTTCATGTTAGTAAATGCATTAACTAACATTAACTAATGAAATCTTGTTGTAAAGTGTGACTAAATCATTTAAAATGAAAAAAAATATTTATTTAAAATGACTACTTCATATTTTGGGGCTCCATTATGATATTTTATTATGATTTTTGTATTAAAATATATAAATATTATTAATAAGCGATAACATTAGGTTTCCACTACATTTTAAATTATATATTATTATTAAATTACCTTTAACAATATATAACATAGAGATTTAAAATGACAATTATTTCATATTTTGCCCTGTCATCCATGATTCTTGTTTTAATTATGTCTGACAATATTGATCTAACATAAAAATCTGCTACACTTAGTGGAATTTCGAAATATAATATAATATAATATAATATAATATAATATGAAATAATATAATATAATATAAAATAATATAATATAATATGAAATAATATAATATAATATAATATAATATAATATAATATAATATAATATAATATAATATAATATAATATAATATAATATAATATAATATAATATAAAATAATATAATATGAAATAATATAATATAATATTATATAAATATAATATTATATTATATTATATAAATATTATATTATATTATATTATATTATATTATATTATATTATATTATATTATATTATATTATATATTATGTAGTTAGATTTTTTTTTCTTCTAAACATTTGAATCTACCAAAAAGCTGTATTACACTGATATTCGATTCATGAGAAGCTCTTCTTGCCTTTGACCCATATTAAAGATCACGCAAGCATTAACTTTGCAACCCTTTTCAATCAATGCTCAAGATAAACACTTGAAAAGTGAGTCAGGTTTTTTGGGGAAATGGAGTCTCGCAGCTCATCCCCCCCTCTCCCGCCGTGTCTCAGCATGACTGTTCACTGTCCGGCTTTGGATCAGAGCCACGCTGAACAGCCTTGTTTGTGCCAAACCGGGTTGCAGGCTTGGCTGCCCTGGAACAATATGCGCAGGGGACGGCACCAGAAATGTAAATGTGACCCGAGTCAGCTCCGAAGCAGGCCCTGTTTCACAACACTGATTCACTGTTGTTTACCTGATTATTTAGCTCCATGTAACCCCCTCATTATGGCTGGCCATTAAGACTGAGAGTAAACATTCAGCGTCGGCCCATGTTCTGTGACTCATCTTCTCTCTACGAAAAACAAAAAACAGAAGAGAAAGAAGAAAGTCAACTTTACTGATGGCCATTCACTGTAAAAAACTAAATGCAGGGTTCCACACAATTCATTCATGTTGTCCCGACACAAATATAAGTGGAGTGAACTTAAAACAGTTAAGCTGTCCCAAACAAATCTCAAGAATTGTGTTGTTTCAGCTCATTTTAGATAAGTAGTTTGAACAAACAACAATCTTTTTTTTAATGAGTGTTCTCGTACAGTGTTTAAATGAATAAATTGTTTTGTTGCCGATATTTTTGGTATCTATCCGTGTTCCAACGGGACTGTATCTCTTTCTGCATGTCTTGCATGTCTCTAATCAGATGGAGGCACTTGGAGTTTTATTTGTGGTCACTTTTATGAGTATATGAAGGACTCAACTGTTGGATTTAGAGGGATCTTTCGATATGTTTTTACCTCCTGTTTACTTCTATTGCCTTATAATAAGGCCCAGTGGTAAAATCTTTTCATCGTTCACAGAGTTGATTGGTGTTATCCTTTTGTGCAGGGGAAATGTTCATTGCTTCTCATTTTGTTGTAAATTAAATGTTTTCCAGTTGATGCGTACAGTATACTTGAACACACACCTGAATAAAATACAAATGAATGCATTTGTCTGTAGTTTTTGTGTTTCACACACCAGCAAATGGACTGGTGAAGAAAAAATAGAATTAAAAGACACCAGTTTAATGGCGTGAGATGCAAGGTGATCCAATTTATCCATATATATATATATATATATATATATATATATATATATATATATATATATATATATATATATATATATATATATATATATATATATATGCAGTTGAAGTCAGAAGTATTAATTTTCCCCCCAATTGCTGTTCAACGGAGAGCAGATTGTTTCAACACATTTCTAAACATGATAGTTTTAATAACTCATCTCTAATAACTGATTTATTTTATCTTTGTCATGATGACAGTTAATAATATTTGACTAGATATTTTCCAAGACACGTCTATACAACTTAAGGTGACATTTAAAGGTTTAACTAGATTGATTAGGTGAACTAGGCAGGTTAGGGTAATTAGGCAAGTTATTGTATAATGATGGTTTGTTCTGTAGACTATCGAAAAAATATAGCTTAAAGGAGCTAATAATTTTGTCCCTAAAATGTTTTTTAAACAATTTAAAACTGCTTTTATTCAAGCCGAAATAAAAGAAATAAGACTGTAAAATCTCCACACTGTAAAATCTAATGTTGTCTTTATTTAAAGAATTAAGTAATTATTAAATAAAGTTGTAAAATTAAGTAAAGTTGAACATAACTTTAATTTTAATTTTGCATTCTGGTCCTATCACATAAAAATATGAGTTATTTTAACTTATGTACCATGAAAATGCATAAACTTAAGATTTCCAGTGTAGTGAGCTCAAAATCATAATTAATTCTTTGAAAAAAATAAATAGTTTTCACAAATGTAGTCTTGACTGTAAAATTCTTATATGTGCAACCTTTTAAGTGCAAAATCTTTTTTAAATCTTTTTTTAATTGCCTACAGGTATATTTATTCATCATAATGGGCAGTGGAGCAGTAGGTAGTGCTGTTGCCTAATAGCAAGAAGGTCACTGGGTCACTGGTTCGAACCTCGGCTCAGTTGGCATTTCTGTGCATGTTCTCCCTGCCTTCGCGTGGGTTTCTTCCGGGTGCTCCGGTTTCCCCCACAGTCCAAAGACATGCGGTACAGGTGAATTGGGAAGGTGTGTGTGTGAATGTGTGTATGGATGTTTCCCAGAGATGGGTTGCGGCTGGAAGGGCATCCACTGCGTAAAAACCTGCTGGATAAGTTGGCGGTTCATTCCGCTGTGGCGACCCCGGATTAACAAAGGGACTAAGCCGACAAGAAAATGAATGAATTTTTTCATAGTATATTATTACACACACGTATGCACACACATGCATATATATACACTGAAAACCCTAATAAGTTGACTGAACTAAATTATTTGAGTAAACCCGTTGCCTCAATTAAATTGAGTAATGGAGTCTTCCAAAACTTGCATATTTAGGTTTATTTAACTTGCGGGTTTTATAGACTATACTTAAATTGTTCAGTTCACCAAACTTAGTACTAAGTTAAATAAACTTAAATATGCAAGTTTTGGGAGACTCAGTTAAATTGGGGCAACAAGTTTACTCAATTAATTTAGTTCAGTCAACTTATTGGGGTTTTCAGTGCAGAAAAAAAATATTATTAGAAATTCTTGACAATTTCTTGGCTCTGTTAAACATTATTTGGGAAATATTTAAGAGAATAAAATTCAAAGGGGGGCTAATAATTCTTCAACTATAATATATATATATATATATATATATATATATATATATATATATATATATATATATATATATATATATATATATATATATATATAATTTATTTATTTTTTATTCTGATCTGTACTTATTAATGATTCATGATATTTTGTTGCAAAGACTAAGATGTGTAGGGTTTAGTACAAAAGTATTAATATGGTTACATGATTATTTGACTGGAAGTGTGTGTCTATAGAAAATTATAACCCTACTCCTTTAATAGTAAAGACAGGTGTTCCTCAAGGCTCAATTATGGGGCCAATTGTATTCTCTATCTATATAAATGAACTTGGTAAAGCTGTTGAGTCAGCAAATGCACACTTTATGCAGACGACATAATTAATTACACTATTGTTTCATCAATGAAAGTGGCAATAGACTCTTTACAAAATGCTTTTAATTTTCATTCCAAATGTCTCTCGATTGCTTAAAATTAGTATTGAATGCAAAAAAAAAAAAAACTAAATGAATGATCTTTCCCTGATCCAGATTATCAACACATAATTTTAATATTAAAACTTTAAATGGCGCACAGATTGAAAAAGTTGCATCTTTATTCTTATTATAATGTCTAGAATGGCTTGAAGAACACAAATAATCCATGTATTTCTCACAGAAATAGACAATAAAATCGCTAATTACATATGATCTTTCCATCATGATTGTATCTCTATGAGAACATGTAAGGACAGACCACAAACCCAATGAGAATGTCAAACAATATTGTTAGACTCACTTTAATAACAATGTTACAACTAAAAAACAACAATTATCATATATTATTATGTATTTACCAGAAACAAAAGTATAACATTACACTGCATTCATAATTTTTTGTGTGCCACCCCAAGATTTGATGCGGCTGCTTCTGGTCACCCCAAAATTTTCTGGGGGCGCCACTGGTGTTGGTGTGGGTTTCCTCCGGGTGCTCCGGTTTCCCCCACAGAACAAACACATGCACTACAGGTGAATTGAGTAAAACTAGCCGTAGTGTATGACTGTGTATGTGTGAATGAGTGTATGTTTCCCAGTACTGGGTTGCAGCTGGGAGGGCAGGGCTCAACAATAAGGACTGCCCGATGGCCCGTGGCCAGCGCAAGAGATGCTCTGGACAGCAGACAGAATGGTTACTGGCCCGATCGGACCAGTGCTGCCTTGTCACTAAATTTTAATTTGCCAGCGACTATTTGTCAATTGCATGCAAACACAGTCTTAGAATCGCAAAACAATTTGTGCTTTTAAGTCTTTGAATGCTACCTTTTCAATGAAGTTGTAAACACCATATTGCTTTCGGTTCCTCTCATCTGATTGGATGTTTTGAGCACGTTATTCCTACCATAACCTAGTAAAAACCAGTACAGTGAAGAGACAGCAACATGACAGCCACATTAAATTTACATGGGTGCAATACCATGAAAAAATAAGTGATGTTTTGCATAGTTTGCCATCACTTTTAGGTCAGCCACCTAGTTTTGCAATAAAATACCTGCACATTTTCTATACTGCTATATGTTTTACTGCTAGATATTTTAACATTTTTAAAATATTTAAATTTTAGATTCACAGACATTGTGTTTGACACATTATTTAAAATATGTTGCTAAAAAAAAGCTATTATTTATTTATTTATTTATTTTTGGTGTGGGGCCTGTGAACATTTTGGCAGGGAAAGTAAAAATCTTAACCACTGGTCCAATCGGGCCTGTAGAAAATATCCTAAGCGTTGAACCCTGGAGGGTATCTGCGGTGTAAAACATATGTTGGATAAGTTGGTCGTTGAATGAATGTGTGTGTGTGTGTGTGTGTGTGTGTGTGTGTGTGTGTGTGTGTGTGTGTGTGTGTGTGTGTGTGTGTTGAAATATTTCTTTAGGGCAGTGAAATATGTAATTAATAGGCTATCTATCACCAACAGAAAATAATTTTTGTTTCTCAACATTGAATATTTTCTTAGAAGTTTCTTTAAAACGCTATAAAATATTTTTAGGGTAAACATTTAAGACATGTTTCATACCTGAGAACTCGATGAACTCGATTAACTACATAACTTGCTAACTTGTTAATCGAGTGACGTTACTGACGTCGAGACACCTGGGGATTGTTTCTTGACATTTCCTCAATACTCGTCGACGACAGCCGTTAAAAAGTTTTTTCTTTAAGAATGTACAGTATGTAATGCTGACAATTAAGCACTAATACAGTCAATTTGAAATGTGTACAGTAATTCTAACCCCAGTGAGATGTGAATCTCGCGCGGTACCTGTTGCGCGTGTGGTTTGACCGCTCCGCTTTCCGTAGTTTAAATCCTCTCTCGACCTCTGACTTGCAGTAAACTTCTCTACTTCCTGCTCGCCGTCCGAATCTTAAAGGCTGAAAAGGCGATGTTTTTGAAGAAAGGGGATTATATGTCGATTGATTTGGATTAAACTTGAGTCCAACATGAGCTGGTATGTATAACAACGCTTTTGTGAGTTAATAAATAATAGTAATTCGTTTGTTTTGTAGCGACTTGAAGTGCCGCTGCATGTGTTCCAAAACATAGTGAGCTACCTATCTAGACTGCACTTGAGCGCGCGCTCGAATACAGCTAAAATGCTGCCTAGTTAGGGAGCGCGCTAGTTTTTGACACACAACTGTTGACTGGCTAGCAAGATCGCGAGACAACAGTTTAGTCATGTTTCAGGGAACAAATGAGTTTAACTGCCTTTAAACTGATGTTTGGAAGCTGAAAAATCGAGATGTGTCATTAATTTTTTGTGTTTATCAACGTAAACGTATATTTCTTGTTAGCCAATGCTGGTTTTCCTTAGATACAGTAGTTAGCTAAGTTAGCTCACAAGCCCTCGGAGACACATTGTTTACGTTTTGATTTAACACTCTTTTGTGTAATAGCAAATATAGTATGGTAAATGTGGTTTTATATTCAGACATTCTCATTAATAATATAATTTCAGAAAAGTATTCTTTGCTAATTCTAAATAGGGAAATCATATTAGCAGCAAATGACTATTAAATTACAACATTGTTTACAGTCAATTAGATAGTGTTAATGTTGTTTAGAAGTCATACTTGCATGCTAATTTCGATTGAATATTCAAAGTAACATGGTAAACAATATAGAGACTGCTAAATGAACGAATGTGCGAATATAAAACCAACTTTACCTCTATTAGTATGCAAGTCTGCATCCAGATAGGCTACTATTGGTACACCTTGTGATATGAATTATAGTTACATCATGAATCATTTACAATGAGCTTTTAGACTATTTGGATTCAGAGATAGGAGGGTTTTTTGCACTTTGTTATCACGGGAACATTAACTTGTCTTACTCTGATTTTATTGTTAAAGTTGGTTTTATATTTGCCCATTCTTACTTTTAGTATTACAACTAATAATCATATGGAATATATATTAGTTAATTTTCTTTCGGCTTAGTTTATTAATCAGGGTCGCCACAGCGGAATGAACCGACAACTTATCCAGCATATGTTTTAGACAGCGGATGCCCTTCCAGCTGCACCCCTGTGCACCCATACACACTCTTTCCAGTAGCGTAAAGTAACAAATTACAAATACTCTAATAACTTTGAGTAGTTTTTCTCAGGAATTGTAATTTACTAAGTAGTTGTATAAATATGTACTTATACTTTCACTTAGGTACATTTTTAGTGTTGTATCTGTACATTTACTCCACTACTTTCCTTCAACCTGCAGTCGTGTCTTTATTTCTTTCTTGTCTACGGGGATTAGAGAAATCAGTCCTGTTATTCCTGTCTTATCAAATCGCACATAGAAGACAAATCGCATCGTAATGAACTACCTCAAGACATGAGTGATTTATAATTGCAGCAAACAATTTGAAAGCATTAAAAGTGTCCAGAAAGATGTCCAAAACCTTTACATGCATTGACCCAGAGACAGTTTAGATGCATGTAACGGATGAGAAGATGACAGATGTTTACTGTATGATGACCGAAATGGCCTTAAACACCCAGCAGGCACAAGACATCAAAACATGATGTCAGATTGACGTTGTACCCCAACGTCCTGGGGACGTTGCATTTCGTGGTTAAATAAAAAAACGGATTGGCGTCAGAACTCAACGTCAGGCCGATGTGAGAGTCCAAAGTCCAACCTAAAATCAACCAAATATCAACGTCTAATGATGTTACAGCTTGAAGTCGTGTGGACGTTACCGATATGACGTCTATCAGATGTTAAATTTTGATTTCCATTCCTGACGAATAAATGTCAGTATTTGAAGTTGGTTTAAGATGTTGGCAAAATGTTGGATTTTGATCACTTTCTTATGCAACCTAAAATTAACCGAATGTCATATATATATATATTAGGGCTGAACAAAAATCTTTTAAGCTTCGATTTCACAGTATGCATCCGCAAAAGCCGCATCACAGGATTATATGATTTATTAAAAGTAAAAAAATAAAGACATTATTAAATATTATTATTTTAAAATAATTTCTGACCATGTTATTTTACATTTAATTGTTAAATTTCAGTATTTGAATACTGCTGGACTCCCCAGAAATCCATAAAGCACTGTTTATTTATTCATTTTTGTCGATCTAAATTAAGGAAGTCTTTCTAAATAGAGCTATTCAAATAATCTGATGAAATTATATACATCACAATATACATGGCAATGTCAGACTTTTCCAGTATCGCGAGAAGGGATGGGTGATATCAGTTACAAAATACCCGTAACTCAATAAAATAAAAAAAATACTATTTAATTTAATAACGGTAAAGTGTCCAATCGGTCTGTGCAATGAATTATTACAGTGGCACATGTGCAATGCAGTTTTGCATTCATGAGTCTGTTTACAAACAGATATTTACTGACATTTTGCTTTCACTCTAAATTTACTCATCATCAATCGAGTGTTTGAAATCACTTCTTTTTGTTTCCAGACATGGTTTTGTATCACAGAATGAGCAAGATTGTATTTTATACTGTGACAAAGGCTAGGTCAATTAGCTTTGCGATATAAATATACTTAAGTCTTATTAAAATGCCTAGAATGGCTTAAAGGGCACAAATAAACCATGTATTTTCATTCATTCATTCATTCATTTTCTTGTCGGCTTAGTCCCTTTTTTAATCCGGGGTCGCCACAGCGGAATGAACCGTCAACTTATCCAGCAAGTTTTTACACAGCGGATGCCCTTCCAGCCGCAACCCATCTCTGGGAAACATCCACACACACATTCACACACACTCATACACCACGAACAATTTAGCCTACCCAATTCACCTCTACCGCATGTCTTTGGACTGTGGGGGAAACCAGAGCACCCGGAGGAAACCCACGCGAATGCAGGGAGAACATGCAAACTCCGCACAGAAACGCCAACTGAGCCGAGGCTCGAACCAGCGACCCAGCAACCTTCTTGCTGTGAGGCGACAGCACTACCTACTGCGCCACTGCTTCGCCCCATGTATTTTCAAATAATCTATATATAATCCAAATAATATAGGCTATGTCTAAAATCGCATACTTCCATACTATATAGTACGCTAAAAACAGTTTGTGAGCCGATTAGTATGTCCAAATTCGTAAAATTTGAAAAACAGCGAGAAGTATCAAGATGACATACTACTTTCGCCGAGATTCTGAAGTGCACATCAGATGACTATGCTATCCCATGATGCACCGCGAGAGAATTCTTGAATGGGAGTGAAGTGACGCAACTGATGTGGATAGGTCACATGATCATGACAAAATAGCAGCGTTTCATTCATACTGCTCGCTCTGATACTGTATAGAACGCACTTTTCTAACAGTCGAGTAGTAAAGTCAAACTCAAATGCAGTAACTACTCAGTATTAGGCAATTTCGGACGCAGCCATAATCTTTATCATATGCTGCTGATGTCTCTTTTCTGTAATCCAAATGTGGAGTATATATATGTAGGGCGCCCCCTAGCATCCAGTATGAATAAAACAGAAGTAATGTGTAATGTGTTAATCGAAATGAAATGGAGATCGTGTTTCGACATGTGCTGTGATTCTCATGCGCATCTGCTCAGGGAAACACGGCTCTGTGATCAGTAGTAAATCTCAGACGAAAGCCCAGAGGTCACAGTTTTCAGACTGAACGGTTGACTTGATTGAACTTGGGGAAACTGTGGAGATGATCAAATGTCGTTCAATAGTTTTGGCTCATAGTTTTGTGACCAGACTTGACTAATACATGCAAAAAAAAAAGAGAGAGAGAGATAAGGTTGCAGTTCATAAAGTCCACTCTATTTAAAAACAATTCCGCATTTTGACGTCATTAGTCGTCAGTTTTTGTCGAATACAAAGTGAGGACACTGCTTTTCTGGCCGTCTCTTGTAAGATATTAAACATCATTTGCATTGTCAGTCGATCAACTTTAGAAGCCGAATTCACGTCACAGGGCTGTACTGAAAGGTCAGCGGCCAGCAGAGGATGCTTCAGTTCCAGTACGCACTTCGAGTTAGGGTGAAGGCCTGAATGAGCCGGCAGTGAAAGGATTCTTTATAAACCATTCTGACCCGCTTCATTCATACAGGGCCTTTTGCTAGATACAGTGACGTGGTCGTTCTGACACTGGGGTCGCCCTGACAACAATTGCAGTTTCCTAGCTGTCAACCGAGTCTCTGTACTCCTCGCAGATAAGATCCCGACATAAAACTTGCAGGCTCAACAGATAGAGCTCCTATTAGCTGGCTTTTCTGCTCCGGCTGTTGTGTAGCGTGAGTCAAGTTCGCCTGTTCTTGGTGTAATTTTGAAATCAAGTCTGAACGAAGCTTTGTTCACGCTACTGTCACTACTGCGTCTGTGATCAGGCTGATAACGTCAAGCCTTAGATTTCGGAACAGGGTACCTTTTATGAATCTGTGCATCTGCGAACGGAGAGGATCTGAGAAAGTCGACATGAAAGCCATGCATCTATTTGGGATTCATTTAGTCTGCCTCTGTCGTCTCTGCTAAATTGCCAGCAGTAATTTATTTAACCACAATTTTAATTGTAAAGTAGGGCTGCTTGATACGGGAAAAATATGCGATTTAGTGTTGTGTTTAGGATTTAACATTAGCCCCTTTCACACAGTAATACCGATAAATATTCGGAAAATTTCCGCAACGACTTTAACGGTAGATTCAAAAAAGCACTCTTCACACAGGCGAGGACGTTACAGAATTTTTCCAGAAAAGACCATTCACGCATCCATTCCAAAATACCGGTGAATTCTGACGTCATTAACCAGAAATGAACAGCAGCGCTTGTATTTGTAAACATTTGACTACATTACAAATTCTGTGGATGGATCAGTACTGTATACAACTTTGATGAAAACATATGGAGGAACACTTTCGCATGTCGAGATGTACATGATATGTGTGTGTGCTGGCGCTCACCGACTGCTTCATGTGCACACGCGTCAGAGCTTGAAGGTA